AATTTATTTGTATTGTCAACTTGTTAGTCATAGAAAATAAAAATTGAAAATTTTAAGTTTACCAGCTGAACGTTAATTTTTGCCTTGGAAAGTTTGGCGCCCCACGCCGAGTCGTGACAATTAGTGATTATATTTCTCAAGTTGGATTTAAAAATAGTTTAAATAATTAATTTTGGGAAATGAATAAATGGATTTCTCTCATTAGCATCTGGTTTATTTCTTTCTTGTGCGTAGAAGGATGGATTGAGGATGAAGAGATTCAAAACTTGATATGCACATGAGTGCAAACATAAAGAAACAATGAGGAAACGGTTGCCTAAATTTGTGAAAGTGATTATTGGATGTTATTGATTTTTTTTTTTTGCTCTTTTCTTTATTTTCTTTTCCTTTTTTGAAGGGTGGTGGTTTATTTGGGTAGTGCTATTATCATGATGCAGGGTCCATGAGACAAATGATAATTGGGGTGCTAGGTGTAGGAAAATATGCCGCTTTGGTTGTGGCTGTGTTAATTTGACATTTTTTTGTTGAAAGCTAAATTTTAAATGTTCGTGTTGATGCAATTTTTTTTAGGCAAATCATATCAATACTCTTACAGAGTTTATCATTCATCAAAAGAAATTGCGTCTCAAAATCTAACATAACACTTAGAAAATAAAATTTAAAAATTTGCGGCCATTTTGTAAATTATGTAGGAAATGCATTTGGCTATCATCATTCACATACTTCTTATGGCATTTTTATGTTGTTTACAGTAATCTAAACATAAAACTTAAAAAATGTTAGTGCTTCAATATTGCCTAATGTAGAGTTGTCGAAAAAGGTTGTTGTTCGCGAATAGCTTGTGTTCGACTCACCTTGGCTTTTGTATGCCGTTTACATTAATTTAACATAACACTTACGAAATGCAAGGGCTTCAATATTGCCTAATGTGGAGCTGTCATAAAAACTTGTTCATGTACAACTCGTGTTCGTCTTGCTTAGTATCAAGCAAGCGCATCAAACACGAGCAATTTTTTTAGCTCAATTTATAAATAAACTGAACATGAACAATCATTTGTTCGACCGTATTCGGCTTGTTTTGGATGGAATTAATTAAGTAATTAGAAAAATTATTTTTATTATTATATTTTGATATTGTTTTTTATGCTGTTTAAAAAAAATAAATTTTATTATTTTTTTTTATGATTCAAGCTAAATTTGAGCAAAATACGATCTTAAATGAACAAATGAATTCGAATCGAATCGAGCCTGAACATGCTATTAACGAGTCATTTCGAAACCACCATATTTTGAGTTAAAATTATTCGATTGAGTCGAACACAAACAAATACTAGGCTCGCTCAAGCTTGGCTTGTTTACACCACTAGCCTAATGGCATGTTTTACTATCCTAATGTATGATATTTATGCTTGGTTTCATTTTTTGTCACTATAAAATAATGCATGTATATGATTTGCATATAGTTGATTTAATTTTTCTGATACTATTGTTTTTCCTTTTCTATGTTCAATTTCATCCATCTTGAAGACAAACTCGTGTAATGTAGTTAATCATAAGCAATGGGTTTGTGGTATTGTTGAATTTTATTTTACACACCCATCAGCCAATGCAAGCACCTTCCTTTTTTTGTCCCTCTTCATTTCTCTGCTGTCTTCTACATTGTTGGATGGTATAGCCAGTAACCCCCACTGCAGTACAATCCTGCTGGTTACATCTCGATTCTTTGTTAACCGAATGTGATTTCGAAACTCATTTATAAGGCCAATACATAATTGGTCTGAAAACTCATGGCGGGAGTGTGATGGTTAGGGACATGAAAGACAAATGTGATGTTAATAAGAAGAATGAAAGCCATAGATAGAGATAGAAGAATAATATATATGCAAATTATGACGACAATTTTCCTCCCAATCTATCATCTCTAAAACCATCAGATTCCCAACATTATTTTTCGGACCTTATCTATTGGCCCTTTCAATGGTCTTGGAGCTTGGATTATGATCACTTATTCCTTCTTTTCAACTTTCAGCTGCCTCTTTAAAGGCAGATGGTGTCCCTAATAACTCTCCATTTGTTACGACTTGGTCTTAGGACTTGGAATAATCAAATGCTTGAATAAACTGTTAGATAATGAATATAATTTAAGTTACTATCACTATTAAAAATAATTATTTAATGAATCAAAAGAGCGCTAACTAATAAATTTTAATTCAATTTAAAAGTAAGCAATTATAAATGTATTTACTATTAACTTGGTTGTTTGTGTCTTTGATAAGCATTTTCTTTTCTTCCACTTTCTTTTTTGCAGTTAAAAGTGTTATTGAAAATATCAGTTTAAATTATCATGAGTTATTAATAACTCCGTGAATATTCATATCTCTAAAATTATAGTAGCATAAAAAATTAAAGAGAGAATATGCAAATCAGGTAAAATCCAATAAATTAGTATGTGATCATTGGATTGTTAGTCTAAGCATTGAAAAGATTTAATTCTTTGTACTACACAATAGTGGGGGTATCATATCTTATATATATCACTTTATACATTGCATCTATCATATGAGTATCGTCTAAAATTTATCATTCAAGGTACTTTAATATCTATATCATTTTGCAGTTTTTATGCAAGTGTATCTTTAGTATTCCCAGCTAGTACCATAAAAGTGTTAATTTTATCATTTGACATGTACTTGCAATTATTTTCTATAGATCATCTATTTACGTACATATTATTCCATAACTTTCTATAATTAACTTTATATATTGTAAGATAAACGTTTGAACATATAATAGAAAATTCATTTCATTCATCCCAACATGATGAATCAATTTTATAACAAAAAAAAAAAAAAAAAAAGTATGTTGGTTGATTGAATAATATTAATAATTATTACGGCAACTAATTTAGAAGAAACAGCAATATTACCATAAAAATATAAGCACTCGCTTTGACCTCAGGAGTTTTATTTAGTTTACCAACTTTTAAAAGCCATCTCTGCAGTAGAATACCTATATCAAGGTGCACATAAACATAAGATTTCTATATTTCAAACCTTAACAAAACTTTCTTTTTTCTTTTTACTTTATTCCACTCATTTTAAAAATATGGTTTGTATACTCCCACTCAAATTCATAATCTTTAGTGACCACTAGCAAATATTTTGTTTAATAAGTAATCTATCATTCCAGTTACATTCGTAAAAGTAAATATCATTCTTTTATATATTTCTGAAATTTTAATAAGTAAATTTATTTACTATATCACTACCATTAGGCATTTAATTTGCCACCTGGTCCTTAAATATCGTCTCCTTGTATGAAATTACAGATTATTTAACTAACAAAATTATTTCAATTTTTCCTTCTGCAATCTTCTTTCTATCATTTGAAATTAATTTTTAGCTTTTTCTAAATATATAGATTAGCATTTGATCTATTTCTTGGTTGCAGCTGTTTTCTTGAGCTCGTAATTGCTTGCTCTTTTGCTAGCATGCAATGGACTTGATCACCACTTGATCTCATTGCTCTTGCCCGTGCCTACTCTGGTTCATGCTTTCTGCTCCTCTGCTCATGTGTTCCTTTACTCATCTCCAGTTTCCTGCTCGTGCATCCTCTTTCTTTTCTCTCAGTTCTGACCCCTGCTCACTTCAGCTCCTCTTTTTCCACTTTCTTGCTCACTCTGTTATTCGTCTGCAGGCTTTACCCCCCTCCATCTCCTCACTTTCTTATAACGCAGAACAGACTAATGGAGGTTCAATTGAATCGACACTAGTCAGTTCAATTTTCCTTGTTATCTGTTTGTGGGATGTTACACCACCATAATATAATTTTCTTATTGCATCATGATCCAGTGTGACTGTGATTTGCATCTTTATTCTTTTTCTACATTTTCTATTTTTTTTTTATGTTCAATCATTAATTAACGTTCAACCACTTCTTGATCTCTGTCGTGTTTATTGGTTTATTCAAGGTGATTTACTTTGGTTGAACGACATATGTCACAAAACATTTTGCCACATATAAGATTATGTAAGATTTTTGCACTGCACAAGGGAATCATATACCTGAATTTGTATTTTAAGCAAAAGACATATGATACAATTTTTTGTATTTTGCACTTTTATAAAGCTGAAATGTCCAAAATGTGATTATTTTCCTGGCTGAGATGTTTCTGTTTATATACATCTGCAACAAAACATCTGCTATTGTCGTACAAAACAATAATCTAAATTTTAGTCTTCTTAGAACTCATTCCCGCCTTATTGGGAGCCTCATGCACCTTGTATGCTTGCTTTTTAATTTTATTTAATCAGTGAACTTGCAGTAACTCTTTTCGGATATTGATATCACCAATTTTTTTATTCATTTTCTACATAGAATTCACTTTACTGAATGGCGGTGTTTTATTTTATTTATTTATTTTTTACTTGGTTTGAAGAGAAGGGCGGGTAGGGAATGGTGAGGAGATGTGGTTTCAGTTTTTTTTAGCTGGCTTGTACTATAATTGGTGCAGAGAAAAACTTTATGTGACCAAACAATTCTAATATCTCATTAAATGGTGCGTTGTCATGTTAGAAATTACTCATTAAGTAGTTGATTATTATATTTTGCTGATGGATCATGGATCAACTTATAATTTTGTTAATGCTTATCTGTTAGTGATGGGTTTTTAGGTTTTTGGAATGGTTGGAATGGTGTTCAACTTATACTTAGTTCAGAAAACAAAAAAAAAATGTTGTAACCAAAATATTTAATATTTCATTAAATGGCGCATTTTCATGATAGAAATTACTGTCTAGATAGTCATTTATTAAATTTTGCGGTTATGTAATTCTCAAATGTTGGTGTCTGAATGATAAAAAAATAATCAAGAAAATGTAAATGTGCTTGTAGGTTTCATGCCTTTTATTGAAATCAAATCTCAAAGTTGTTGAATGTAATTTGCTGAAAGTAATCTCTATCAAAATGATGTTTTTTTTTTTTATTTTAATTTTAAACAGGCTTGTGGAAAAGAATTCTCGCCTTGAAAATGAAACGGTGCGGAAAGAGGCTGAAGTTCAGAATCTCATGGATGAGAATGTTAGGTTAAGGAATCTCCTAGACAAAAAGGAGGCCCAATTGCTGGCCATGAATGAGCAGTGCAAGTTTATGGCCTTGAATAAGGGTGGAATTTAGTTAATATCTTATTGCTTCAATTTGTCACACTGGTTAGGAGCCTATACTTTTTTTTTTTTGTTGCTTTAATTTATATAAACGGGTGATTCTTGTAAAATTCATTATAAATTAATCAATCAATGTTTGCCCATCAACATTCATTTATGTTGGCAACATATCAGATACTTTCAATTCAGCTAGCTTTCATATTCTCTATGAAAGATGTGCTATCATGTTTCTGTTATAACTCATTCTACTACTGATAATAAGTTGAGCATGAGAATGTTAAAATGAATGTGTGATAGAATGAGGGATACATGGAAGAATGATTATAAGGGAATTTACATGCATATCACCAAATTCATATGTATTTATGTATCTAACATCTGAATTTTATTTTTTTCCATTTCTATCATAAAAATCTTTCATACCACATACAAAGTGGAATGCATTTTTTCATGCATAGGTAAGGTGGAATATATGTAAAAGTTAAAGTTTAGGTGTTAGTTATGTAATTATATAGGAATTGGGTGGTTTGTATTTATGAGGGGGCAATCTTTCATTGAAGATAATATAAGGGATAATAAAGTTAGTGGGTTAGGCATGTGTACCGAAGGATGGAAAACACCCGCCTAAAATGGGTTTGTAAAATTAGTGTTCAAAGAGTGTGAATTAAGAAGGAATGGTACCGAAGATAGAAGTTGCATAAAAATTTTGTGTGCAAGTAATTTAGTAACTCATGAAACAAAAAAAAAAGGCTGAACATTGGACATTCATAAAACTAGTCAACCCTAATATGGGGATAATCATAATCATAACCATTTCTTAAAGAGTAGAAAGCATAATTTTTTTTCAAGTATTTTTTGTTTAACATGCTGACATTGTATCTCAACACAATAAAGTTAGAGCTTGGAAGGAAGAAGGGGAGACAAAGCTGGTAGTCTAGAGTGTGCTTATTGGCAAAGAATCACCATTATGTGCCTTAGTAGCTGCTTATGTGCCTTAGTAGCTGCATGGTAAGAGCAAAAATTCATCTCTTTTATCAAAGTATTCAGTTTGAAATCATATATCTATAATGATATCGCCACGAGAGACCATTGTATAGTTTGGGCATTTATGTGTTATTTGGTAAAAGTAGTTGATATGTGTGAAAAATAGCAATTTCTCAAACTTTTTTCCAAGTGGCTTCTCAATGATGCCGTAGTTAGCTAGGCAACAAATAAAGAGAGGGAGAGAGAGAGAGTTGCCAAATATTTTATTTATTCAATCAGTTGTTACCTTTACTCTTAAGGGTCTTCTTTATGATGAAAGGATGTTAAAGTGACAATACGTTAAGAAAATAGAAAAGATAAGAAGCAAAACTTAATAAAAGTAACAAGGAAGGAATTATATCCTAATGATACAAATCTAAATATTCTTTAAATAAAAATGTCTAAATTATGCTAGAATCTTTGATTAATTATGCAGTTAGTTTGAAACACAAGCTCATATTAGATGGCCACCATTAACTCCGTTGAGGTATAGATAGCTCTTCTTTTTTGAGTTATGCTAAAGGTATTCATCTTGATGGTCGATTAAGATGTGTAGCAATTGTTCATAAATTACCTAGGAGACATCTGATGGTGGATGTCCTCTCCATTGAACAAAGTAATGTTGGCTTATTCGAAGAATCTCATTTAATCTTATTTAGTAGAGTGTGATCTCAACATTTGCGATATGATCTTTACATTTATATAATCTATCCTTCATGCTCATGGTTTTTTCAGCTGACACTCTATCAGCATCCTTTGTGCTCATGACTTGTTTGATTTTGTTCTACATTCCACCCGCATCATGTGAACTTATGTTACTCTTTGTTTTCCTAGTGTTATACTTTTTCAATTACTCTTGCTCAAGAACCTTTAATAACCTCTCCATCTAGATGTTCCCATATTATGCATCACTTCCACGTCATACATCTCTAGCATTTTCATCTTGTGATGCGACCCCTTCGATTGCTTATGCCCCTTGTTTATTAACTGCCATGGAATCTCTTTTTATGTATTCATTCTTGCTCTCTTCAGCCTTTTGTTGATGTGGGGTCATGATGCCTTAGATATTTAACCAACCATTTCTTTTCTTTTTTAACAAGATTCTAGCCCTCTTCAAAACAAACAATCATCCACTATTCATGAAAAACATATTCTTTCTTCATTGATGTTGATATTATCGAGCTAGCAAGTCCACCCTCTTTCTTTATGGTGGGAACATTTTCTTTGGGCCATTTTAGTCTAGAGTTTATTAACAAATTTATAGCAAACTTGCTCCGGATTGGTAATTTCTCTATGGGGCTTATGAATCCTAATCGTATTACTTCAAGATTATAACTAGAAATATATTACACTTGATTTTTCTTATGATATTATTAGTATATGAAGGGCTATGTGATGCAATTGTTAAAATATTCTAAGCGCTTTGGCTCATGTGGGAACCAACAATCACATAAGCTTTATTTACACTACTCTATTTTTGATAAACCATTACTAGTGGATTTTGTTACAGCTGGTCTGTCTTAGCAATCTGTGGCTAGAGTTCTGATTGAAATTGACTTTATTATTCATCTTGAAAAGTCGCGGGTTATTTATTAGTCTTATGGATATTGACTGAAGGTGAATTTTGAAGAGATTTTTTCCAATATTTTCTCTTGTAAAATATTTGGGCATCAAGGTGTTGGCATCAAATACAACTCGCTCTTGTTGAGTTTTAAGTTTTTCTTTAACAACAGGCTTTGGGGCCTTCATAATAGGCTTAAACTGAACTAGTTTACTAGTAGCACCCCACCCCTAAGCTTGCAAGCATAAAATATTTTCTCATCCATAATGGTTTATATTATGATTAGATAACCAAGGTCTATAAAGCAGGATATGGACACATCAATTAATAAAACATTATGATTTGGCACTCCAAGTTCAACAATATCCTTATATTGTATTGGTCCTTTAATTATTTAATTAGTTCTATTATAAGAATTAATAGTATTTTATTTTGAGGTTATTTATGTAAATTTCAGTTTACTTAATAATCTTGCGGTGTGGCTATAAATGCCCCTTCACGCCTTGATGTCAAGACACTTCAATTGATTTTATTCTCCCGTAAAGATTATTTTTTCCTCTTTTATTCTCTTTCCTATTATTTGTTTTCCTTATTTTTTCTAGTTTGTATTTTTTGAGTTTCTTTCCAAGAATTGAGTACTTGTAGGATAGTGGAACAGCGCTGAAGCCAGGAGTAAGGGTTGTTTCCTCTTGCTACTACTGGAGACTTGTGTGGTAAGCAAATGCTGCCAAGAACTAATTCTGTTTTTGAATTCTGTAAAGAAATACTGGATTTGTGTAGGTTGCTGTAGATGAAAACCTAAGAGGAAGATCCCTAATCATTGGGAATTGTTGACTATTGTATAGTTTATCAAGACAGAGACAATGCTGCATTAGTTTGTTACAAGTGGCCTTAGAGCTAGATCAATGCGAGAGGAGTTAAAGAATTAAGTTGTCAATGCCCCTTTAATGTGGTACTATTGGAGGAGGCAATTTTGAAAGTTGAGAAAAGATTATGTGGAGAGGTGTTGAATAAAGCTCACATTATGGTTCTACTTAGTCTTGGAGACAAGGTACTTCGAGGAGTCCTTTATGAAAGAATAATAATCATCGACATATGTGGAATAAAGGTTATCTATGTATCTCAATATTTCTTTGGTTTATTAGTTGTATGTCAAGAAGAAGTTACATGCATTGCAAATGGATGACTCTGAACCTTTAAATAAGCTCGAAGTGATTTTAATCCAATAATGAAAGTGTCAGAATAGATAATGAAGTTCAAACTATTTTTTTACTAAGCTCATTGCTAAGTAGATATGTAAATTTTTGTTGATGTTGCTTTATGTAAATGATTTTTTTTGGCTATGCCAAAAGTAAAGGTTAATTTTAAATTCAAAAGAAAATCAACGAAATGTTGAATCTAATCAAGACAGTTCACCCAAAGGCCTAATTATGCAAGGAAGATCAAGAAATGACAATCAAAGTCGAAGCATCAAAGAATAACCAAGTCAAAGTCAAGAATAAAATGCTTTTCGTGTCATATATAAGATCAATTGAAGAAGGTAGTGTCCAGTGAGGAAGAACAAGAACCAAGAGTGGGTCTGAGATGGAGGAGATGCTATGATAATAAAGAAAGGTCGTGTTGAGGTGTTGGCAATCTCATATTTAGATCCAAACCATATGTGCCTAAAGAATAATTGGTTTGAGTATCAATGAAAAAGAACACGAAACACACAATGTAACTAAGATACAAAAAGGCATGCAAAGTTCAAGTTGAGCCATGTATCTCCATCTCCATGACCTATTCGAAAAGTTGCTCATGCATGTGATGTATGTTCTTTAACTTAGAAGTTTGATTTCTCTTAGTGAATTATGCGACAGTGGATAAAATTTAATCTACAAAGATCTAAGCCTGAAAGTATGCAAATTCTCTTTGATCATCATGAAAGACAATTCGTATGAATGGAGCGGATACATTGCAAGTTAAAACTGTGATTGGGGGCTGTGTTAAAATACCTTTGTAAACTTGCCTATGAAATTAAATTGTGATATCAAAGAATAGGACATTCAAGTTTGAGATGGCTAGAAGAATTCTACAAACAAGCATTACGGTAAAACATATAATCACTTATTGAATCAGCAATTCAATAGGTAATTTTGGCTGCATAATTGGCTGCCAGGCTGTTGGAAAAAAACCTTGCGGTCAAACTGTCAAAATCCAATCAGGCATAAGTAGGGGTGTAAACGAACCGAACACGAACGAACAAAGCCTGTATTCGTGTTTGTGGGGTGTAAACGAACCGAACACGAACGAACAGAGTCCGTGTTCGTGTTTGTTTTGTTTGAAATTTAGTTTGTTTGAAAAAAGCTCGTGTTCAAAATTATTCGTGAAGTCACTGTTCGTGTTCGTTTCTTAACGAACAAGACGAACACGAGTAATATATTATATTAATTATATAAGTTATATTATATAAAAATATAATATCTATATTAGTATATTACTAATATAGTATATTAATATATTATTATTACTAATTTATTATACATGATAATTTATAAACTTTAATTATTTAAAGTATCTTAAATTTTTT